GCCCCCGGGAGTGCGGGTCGGCCTGACGGGGCGCACCCCTTTCCGCGGGACCGGGGGCGGCGGTGGGGACCCTTGGGGTCCGCCTCCGGGTGAAGGCTCCCTGGCCGGGGGCGCCCGTACTTTGGAGGAGTTTGCCTCCTGACTCTGCTTCCCTCCTCTCGAGCGGGGTCCGCCTTCTCGGAAGCTCCGGTTTCCTCGGGCCCTGGGCCACTTTTGGGGGTGCGTCCCGTGTGCCGAGGAGGGTTCGGAACTCTTCCTTTTCCTGGAACTGCGCGTTCATCCCGCCTTGCTCGGCCAGCCGCCCTCCTCCACGCTGGCCCCACTTCCCCAAGCGCCGGCAGCCGTGGCAGCAGCGTGCGCACAGGTGCTTGGACCCTTGAGAAACGCAAACATATTTCTGCATGCCATCCCGGCTCCTCTGGAGGTCTAGAAGGTAGACTTTCTGGTAGCCAAAACGGGGCTTGCCTAAGCCATCTGGGTAACGAGGCCTCTTGTTCGCTTGCTGTGTGACCTTGGCCAAATATTTACTGTCTCTGGTGTGTCGATTTCCTGGCTGCCTGGCTGCCAGACTGGCTTATGAGGTCCTTTCAGGCCTTTTTGTGAAAGGACTCCGTGTTTTGTTTTGTTTTTTTAACCATCTCCTTGATTGACTGCCCGATGGGCAGAGGACGACTACTGTACCTTCTGCTCTGCCCCAGGCTGTTGGAAAAGAAATCTGGTGGTTTCCAGTCCCCAGCCGCCGCCCGGAGATCCAACATCTGTGCACTCGTTTTTACTAACCGCTGTTTCTCAATTTAAAACCTGACTATCTTCTTGTTGGCAAAGGTGCCTTGGAAGTTGTGTCGCTGAGTCAGCAAGCCTTTCAGATTTGCCCAGTTTTTGTTGTTTGTGATTTATATCAAGATGGGAACGCACACAAGTCATTCCTTCTAAGGATCTGGTGTCTCTATCAAGAAGGGACAGTTTGTGCCAGCTCTCCAGAGAGAAAAGGTGAGAGCCATGAGGACTTTACCTTGTTGATTGCTCAGTTGTTTTTCCATAGAGGAGGTGGGGACTGGGGAGGGTGGGATTTGAGGTCTGCAGGATGAAAGTAAGTCCTGGGAGTTGATTGTTGATTGCCAGCTGTCTCAAATAAATTTGAGTGGCTTCTTGCCAGCTGCTTCTCCTGTTTAACCAGTCTGAGAGGATGTTTTCCACATGGTTTTCACTTTAAGACACGCTTTATGGAATGAAGGACACAAGTCACGATTTCTGCATTTCTTTTGTTGCATAAACCGTTCCTGGGTGCCAGACAAGATCTCTGTCTTTTGGGAGCTCGTGTTTTGCTGGATAAACCACAGTCAGTGACAAGGTGTTGTCGGCGTGAGATACACACACACACATAGAGAGACAGAGTGTTCGCTGGGGGAATCACAAGGCCCTCCCTCCTATCTGTAGTTAGGAGGGAGGATCAGGAAGGCTTCGGGAAGGTGATAGCTGAGGTGAGTTGTGAAGGAGGAATAGGGCTTAGGAAGTGGGGCGAAGTTACCTGGCAGGGGATCAGCATTTGCAAAGTCAGCAAGCTACTGGGGCACAGCTGGGCTACCGTGAGTAGCTCTGTGTGGTTGGAGCAACGCGGAGAGGGTGTGGAGTTGAGGAGCCTGGAAAGTTAGGCGAGGCTGAGTGTGGAGGGCTTTGTGGGCCATGCCAAAGCTCTGGAGAGCAGAAGGATTTTAGCAGGATTCCACGAGGGGCATGTGAAATGAGCACACTGGCTGGAAGGTGTGGAACGGACTAGGCCGGATCATTCTCTTTGTGACTGTCTCCTTACACCATGGCAGCTTCTGATAGTGGAGAGGTAGACGAGAGGCTTTTGCCCTCATTTGCTCATAGTCTAGTTGAAGAGGTAAAATGGACACAGAGAAGAGCTGTCAAGGACAGACAGACTGCTGTGAAAATTAACAAGAGGGCTTTTTCTTTCTGTGGGTGCATCAAGGAGCCTTGAAAGTGAGGATAGGGGCCAGGCGCGGTGGCTCACACCTATAATCCCAGCACTTTGGGAGGCTGAGGTGAGAGGATTGCTTGAGCCCACGGGTTCGAGACCAGCCTGGGCAACTTGGTGAGACCTCATCTCTATAATTAAAATAAAAAATTAACCGGGCATGGTGGCACATGCCTGTAGTTCCAGCTACTTGGAAGGATCTTCTGAGCCCAGCTGGTCGAGGTTGCGAGGCTACGGTGGCCGTGAGCATGCCACTGCACTCCAGCCTGGGTGACAGAGTGAGATTCCAACTCAAAGAAAAAATGAGGATAGGGGTGAGGGTAGGGGCCAAGTGGGGTTCAGGTGGGGTTCAAGTTGGGAGGGAGGGGTTTTGTGTGTCCACCTAAGGAATTTGAATCTCATTCTGGAGGTCCAGGGGAGGTGTGGAAGAGAAAGGATTAGAACAGTGCTTCAGGAAGTTTAATCTTACACCCTGGTACCGTGTCCGAGGCAGACTAGAAGGAGAGAAGAGAGTTGGAGAAACCCTTTGGGAGGGAGTACTTATTTAGGCAAGAGGTGTCAAGGTCCCAGTGAGTGCTAGCAGAGGGGGCTGAGGAGGTGAGGAGAGAGCAGGCCAGGCAGCACTAGGCTGTAGGGGAGCAGGCGTGTCACCACGCCCAGCTAATTTTCTGATTTTTTTTTTTTAATAGAGGCGGAGGAGTGGGGATCTCAGGTTTTTCTCCTGGCTACCTGGGACAGAGGGGAGCCAGGGAATCAGTTGGGAGGGAGGAGAATTAGGCATTCATTCATGGCCTGCTTCATTTAGTGGTTTTTGTTTGTTTGCTTGTTTTTTGAGCTGGAGTCTCACTCTGTCGCCCAGGTTGGAGTGCCGAGGTACACTCATGGATGGCCACCCCAGTGTCGACTTGCTGGGCTCCAGTGATCCTTCTACCTCAGCCTTCCAAGTAGCTGGAACTACTGGCACGCACTACCATGTGCTGCTAATTTTTTATTTATTGTAGAGACAGCGTCTCACCAAGTTGCCCATGCTGGTCTTGAACCTGCAGGCTCAGGCAAGCCACTCGCCTCGGCCTCCCAAAGGCGCGGGATTACAGGCTGAGCCACTGAGCCCGGCCGCCTCGGCCTCTTAAAATGCTGGAAAGACAGGCTGAGCCACTGAGCCCGGCTGTTTAGTGTTTTTTAGTAAATGTAGTAGGCTCTGGCACTTCAGCCACCCAAAACAAAAGCTAGCTCTTGAGACAAGAGTATACATCTGTCAATGTCATTTGATCTTTCTGTTCTCATCCTAAGGTAACTATTATCCCCTCGTTTTTATTTTTACATGTTCTTATTATACCTTTGTATTTCTAAGGAAAATGAAACTTTTTTTTTTTTGAGTTGGAGTCTCACGCTGTCGCCCAGACAGCCCAGGCTGGAATGCAGTGGTGCGTTCACTGCTCACCACCTGCTGGGCTTAGGCGATCCTTCTGCCGAAAAAATTTAGTGAGTGGATTGCCTGAGCCTGCGCGTTCGAGACCCATCTGGGCGACTTGGTGAGACCTCATCTCTACAATAAATCAAAAAATTAGCCGGGTGTGGTAGCGCGCGCCAGTAGTTCCCGCTACTTGGAAGGCTGAGGCGGAAGGATCACCAGAGCCCAGCAGGTCGAGGCTGCAGTGGCCGGAAGCGGCCACTGCACTCCAGTCAGGGCGACAGAGTGAGACTCCAATTCAAAAAAAAAAAAAAAAAATCAAGATTTAGCCGCATTATTTCATGTTGAGTTCACTTGTTTTTGACTACTGACTGATATTCCATTGTGTGAACACATCACAGTTTATGCATCTGATCATCTATTGACAGGCACTTAGTTGCTTCCAGGTTTTTGTTATTGCAAGCATTCTACCCTGAACATTTTCATACAGATCTCCTGTCATACATATGCGAAAATAAAAACTTAGGAGTGGTATCTTGCTGGGTCATAGGGTAAATAAATGTTAGGCTTTCATAGATATTGCCAGACTGTTTACGGAAGTGGTTGTACCAATACCCACTTCATTCAGCAGCAGTGTGTGGCTCTCGCATGCTCTGCAGTTTTGCCAACATTTGCTATTGGCATACTTTTTTTTTTTTTTTGGCCAGTTGAATGCGTACAAAATGGAATTGTTGGGGTCTTGGTTTCTAGGTCTCCAAGCCCTGATGTTGAATATCTTTTCTTATGTGTATTGGGATATGCGTTTCCAGTGAAACATTTGCTCACGTATTTTGCCAGTTTTTCTCTGGGCTTCTTGGTGTTTTATTTTTTATTGGGTTGTAGGATATTGTGAATATCTTCTCCTAGCTCATAACTTACTTTTCTACTTTGTTGAAGATCTCTTTTGTTGGCCAGGCACGGTGGCTCAAGCCTGTAATCCTAGCACTTTGGGAGGCCAAGGTGAGAGGATTGGCTGAGTGCAGGGGCTCGAGACCAGCCTGGGCAACTTGGTGAGACCTCGTCTCTACCATAAATCAAAAAATTAGCCAGGCATGGTGGCACGCGCCTCTAGTCCCAGCTACTTGGAAGGCTGAGGTGGAAGTATTGCCTGAGCCCAGCAGGTCGAGGCTGTGGTGGTCATGAGTGTGCCACTGCACGACAGCCTGGGTGACAGAGTGAGACTCCAACTCAAAAAAAAATTTTTTTTATTGATCAACCATTCTTAATTTTAGCATAGTGAAATGTGTTTTTTCATTGATAGCCAGTGTGTCTGTCTCTTGTTCAAAACATCCTTTCCTGAGCATAATCCTTGCCTTTAAGGAGCTTATGCTTTCTCTAGTGGCGGAGACAGATAACGAATTGCATTCAGATGTCACAGGGTCACTGATTGTTAGAAGTGGCCACTTGTGCTGAAGAGCAGGAGCAAATGTAGGAAAGATTTCACAGGGCAGCTTGTCTCAAGCTGGGAATTAAGAGATGAATAAGTGAGCAGATGGGATGGACAGTCTCAGTGGGCAGTAAAGGTCATGAAACAGCCTGACCCATTCTGGGCACTGCCAGGCGGTCCAGATGGCCAGAGCCCAGGGCTGGCGGGGCTTAGGCAGGGACATCATGAAGACGAATTTGGGTGATCTGTGTGCAGGAGATTATTGAAGCCATGGGAACAGAGGGCGTTGAGAGAGGGAGGAAAGGTAGGCCAGGGCCTGATATCCTGATGGAGAGAAAGTTACTAGGCCTCGTGTGGTTCTGAGGAGCGTTGGAGGTCCCTGAGGGTACGCCCGCATGGCAGCCTGCCTGCTGTGCTGATGAATGCTGTATTTCATCCTCAGGTGTTGGGAAAAGGTGGATGTGTCTGCAGAAGGCAGTGCGTGTTGTTGACAAGGCTAGCCAGAGGCATAAATGTGCTCTCAGTTCCCCGCCCCCCAGGTCAGAGTCTCACTCTGTCACCCAGGCTGGGGTGCAGTGGCACGTTCACGGCCACCGCAGCCTCAACCTGCTGGGCTCAGGCGATCCTTCCACCTCAGCCTTCCAAGTAGCTAGAACCACAGTCATGCGTCACCACACCTGGCTAATTTTTTGATTTATTGTAGAGTTGAGGTCTTGCCATGTTGCTCAGGCTGGTCTCGAATCCCTGAGCTCAGGCAGTCTTCTTGCTTCTTTCTCTCAAAGTGCTGGAATTAAAGGCGTGAGCCACTACACCTGACCTTTTTTTTTTTTTTTAAGTCACTGTCTCTGTCACCCCGGCTGGAGTGTGGTGACATGATCATTATGGCTCACCACAATCTTAACCTGCTGGGCTCAAGTTAGCCTCCCAAGTAGCTGAGACTGCAGGCATGTTCCACCATGCCTGGTCAAGTTTTTTTTTTTTTTGTGGCAGTAAGGTCTCGCCATGTTGCTTAGACTGGTCTCAGACTCCTGGCCTCAAGCAGTCCTCCCGCCTTGGCCTCCCAAATTGCTGGGATTACAGGTGTTAGTCACTGCACCCAGTGATCTCACTTTTTGATAGAGACATGGGTTCAGAGAAATATTTCTCAACTATAGGAGAGTAGGAGCACAGTGATAGATGGGGGGAGCCAGTAGGTCAGGGTTCTGTAAACTATTGACCCACTGTCTATGTTGTTTTTTAATCTATTTTAATTTTAATTGGTTTTTATTTAGAAATGGGTCTTGCTATATTGCCCAGGCTGGTCTCAAACTCCTGGCCTCAAGCAGTCCTCCTGCCTTGGCCTCCCAAATTGCTAGGATTACAGATGTGAGCTATTGTGGCCGTTTGTACTGCCTGTTTTGTTCATAAAGGGTGGTTTTTGTTTTGTATTAGTTGGAGTCTCACTCTGTCACTCAAAATGAAATGGCACTGTCACAGCTCACAACAGCCTTGACCACCTGGGCTCAGGTGATTCTTCCACCTCAGCCTCCCTTGGTAGCTGGGACTACGGTCATGCGTCACCATGCCCAGCTAATTTTTAAATTTTTAAAATTTATTTATTTTAATAGAGACGAGATCTTGCTACGTTGCCTAGTCTGGTCTTAAACAACTGGGTTAGGCAGTCCTCTTGTCTTGACCTCCCAAAGTGCTAGGATTACAAGAGTGAATCACCACTCCCGGCCTTGTTCATAAAGCTTATTGGAGCACAACCAATGCCGTTAGTTTCCGC